AGAGAGAGAGAGAGAGAGAGAGAGAGAGAGAGAGAGAGAGAGAGAGAGAGAGAGATCGGGGGCCAACGAGAGTTTGAGGGATAGAAAGAGAGAAAAAAAAATTAGGAAAGGCATCCCAGTCATGAAGTCAGTGAGAAGGAATGCTGAGCTCACAAGCTTTACCTCTTACACTTCAGCAGTAGCTCATATTATTAATATCATAGAGAAGGGCTATTCATCTTCCCTCAGACAGCACATGGGGGAGAGATGTGGGATGCAGAGGGGAGGAGAGGAGGACAGAGAGGAGGGGAAGTAGGGTACTGCTGGTGACATTCTTGGACAGCACAGATGGGGCAGGCGGAGTATAAGTTCATCTTCGAAATTAGTTTTCTCTTTTATGACAGTCTAGTGAATTTTACTTGCAACTACTGGCTTTTAATACTGCCAACTTGTAGTGAAGCAATCCTGCACACTTCAGTGGTTCTATTTCTAATATGAAAAGACTTGATAAAAAAGAAAAATCTATCCCTTTCATTTGTACAGACTTCCACTATGTGACAGTATTTATCTCTGTGAAAGCCAGTCATTATGATTTTCAAGTTTCAGAATGTGACTCATCTTTGGCTCTTTGTACTCCCAGTATAAGCTAAGAGGAGCCACTGAATATAAAATCAAAAATTGGGAAGAGCACCCCTGACGATGTGTCATTTCACTCTTCTAGACCTCTGCTGAGAAGTCATTGGTGCGTTCCACTGCCTTCAAGCCTGTGATTCCCAGGAGTACATCCTCCACAGAGACAGGCCACAACGGCCTTGACATCCTTTGTCCTCTGGAGAAAGCAAGGAGCCCCGATAACAGACACAAGCAAGACACCTTCTCAGGTCTTTATCCATATCATATTGATAAACGGAGGCCTTAAAATTAGATTATTACAAGTTGAACTTCAGATTACACTAAAGTAAAATGCCTTTTCTTTTCCTTTTAGGGACTCTCTCCGACTCTGGACGTAACTCTATGTCTAGCCTGCCCACCCACAGCACCAGCGGCAGTCTTAGTGCTTCCACGGGCCCTGTCAGTCACAGTGAAGGCAGCTCAGCTCCTGCAAACAGCCTCAGCAAGGGAGTACAACCCAATTTCCCTCCATGGGTCAACGGTAATAGCACTAACCTTGACTGTAGCTACAGGGCTGGTTTAAACTGCGGAGTGTTGGCATCAAAGGCTAATGGGGATGCTGGCTCCCCGCTTTCTGCAGATGAGCCAAGAGCTCTCTGTGAAACTGCAGGTGGGATTCGCTCCCCCATTACCACAGATGAGTCACTGATTGAACGTTTGGAACAAAGGCTGCTGGAGAGAGAGACTGAACTGCAGGAGCTACAGGTATCAAGCTGTCACTTTACTAAAAAAAACAGCATGCGTTCATAATCAAGATCAGTGCCTCTTTATCAGTAGTTAGACTGTACAACTGTGATATTTTTTACTGTGATGTCTTCACCGTACAATAGGTGGGTTTCGAAGACAAGGAAGCAGACACGTGCCAGCTGTTTGAGGAAAGACAAAGGTACTGTGCTGAGGAGATGGAGGGGCTGAAGCAGCGCTGCTCCACAAAGCTACGCCAAGTCTCCCAAATGGCCGCAAAAACCCAGCAAGCACTCCAGCTGCAGGTCAGCCAGCTCCAGGTCGGCACACATCCTCTTTTTTTTCTTGTATCCCTGATTTCTGGTTCATCTTCATCCCAACAACACTTCCCCCGTTTCTATGAATTAAAGGGAAAATTTGGTACCTTTTTATGTGGAGGTCCAATCATCAAGTGTAGTCAATTGAAGCAATAAATTCCTCAATTGCGTGCTATATTGACTGAAGAAGCTGAGTTGTCCTGCTTGAGGAGCCATGCCGGCAGAGCCTACATGTGCATTGAGAACAAGCTTCTGATACCCGGAGGGTTCCCGCCTGCCATATCATTTTGCATGAATGCAGCCGCAGCTATAGCCTCGGCCTCTCTCCGCTGCATTTCTTCGGCCTTATACTCTGGCTTGAATGATTACGGCTGAATATCCGAGTCAGCCAAAACACGTTTTTGGAAACGTAGCTTGTTTGCAACACTAGAGAAGAGAACAAGGAAGTTCTTATTTTGAGCGCTATCTAGAGCATGTGCGCCCCCTGCTGAAGACAAGAAATCCATGCTGAAATAGCCTGTAATACTTCCTTGCATATACAACTATGTCACTTTCTGACATGACGGATTTTGACGCTCCGAACTGAGGAATATATTGCTTCAATCGACTACATTTACCATCAAAACTGATTGTACACATAAAAGGTGGTGAATTTTCGCTTTAAAATACAGTATTATACCTCCATTTCATTTGAGAAAAAAAGCAGTAGCAGAAGCATAAAGATTCGACACCTTAATGAGTGAAATGATAAATTAACTCTTGTACAGGTGGAGAAGGAGAGGCTTCAGAATGATGTCTCAAAGCTAACCCAGGAGAAGGATCTTATTGAACTCAGACTCAGGACTTATGCGACAGAGAGCACGCAGCTCGCTCCGACACTGGAGGAAACTCAATGGGAGGTGAGTCATGAGTCGAGCGGAATCAGTTGGGTTTGAAAGCTTGTAGCATATAATACAATCTGGTACAACCTTGAAGGCTGCTGAGGAGGTATGGGAACATAATGCTCTTCTATCACTGGATGAAAAATCCACCACTATGCATAATAAGAAATAGAATTCCATCATAAAAGTATTCATATAATAGATTTTTTTATATAACCAATGGTTGAAATGACTGTGTAATGTGAAAGAGACCTCTTGAAGGGGTGAACCTACAGAGAATAATCACCAACTCTGCAGTTCTCCTCAACACAATTGAGCTTTTTAGTATCTTTCAGCTCATTGTTTTGGTTTTATGGCCCGCAACTCTACTGTTTAGGTTCAGTATCAGCGCTCTCGTCAGACCCGTTTGCAGCTATTTTGCTGCAACAAACAACTGTTTGATCCATGTCTGCTGGATCCAAAGAGGAAACTGTTTGTTAACACCTCTACCAACAATGCATTTATGTGTATGCTGATAATATGTCAATGTTGCGTTTACAGCTGGTTGAGCAGCCTGCAGATTGTTTGTTATTTAAATATTTAGCTTGCTTTTGGAATTACGTAAAAAAAGTAGCGTTCATGAATTCTATCGTCATATTATATTATACAACGGAATATAAGTCACTAATACTTACTGTCCTTCATGCCATTAATGACCAAATATTCTGCATCTCAGTGTCACTGTGCTGGGTGGTATCATTATGGGGGATGAACAAAATCCATAATTGTAAAAATATACAGTATAGGAAGCCTTGCACATAATTAACAGTATCCGTTGATTTTTTCCTTTAACTGCCAGTGTATGTATGTCATACACATTATTACTCTGACTGGTTCATCTTCATAATTGTCCCTGTATGAATGTAGGTGTGCCAGAAGACTGGGGAGATCTCATTGTTGAAGCAGCAACTGAGAGACTGCCAGGCAGACGTCCGCCGCAAGCTAAACGAGATAGTTTGCTTCAGAGCATCACTGAAGGAGAACACAGCAAAGATGGAGATACTCGAGAGACAGAATAAAGACCATGATGACAAACTGCGCTCTCGCACCATAGAGGTTGAGGTTAGTCAGTTCATGATTCAATGGCAATTCATTCCAGCATGGCATTCAAATAAGGACGTGGGAATAAAATGATGTGGGGTGCTAATAAGATCAAAGCACTGAGCACAGAGATACCTGCTATTATGTGCTAGTGCTACACTCAACTGTGACCTTCAGAGTGTTTTCCATTTCCATGTTTTAGCAGACTTATATAATCACAGTCTAAATAAGTGAGCTTATTTTACACTTCATTTGATTAGACCCTGTTACAGCAAGCAAAATAGTCTGCTTAATTGCTGCCAGTGTCTGAAAAGTTTCCATTTTTAATTAAGGTGTGCCAAAATGAACTTCAGCGCAAGAAGAATGAGGCGGATTTGCTGAGAGAGAAAGTGGGCAAACTGGAGGAAGACATTCAGGGAATGAAACAGGATCTTGCCATGGCCAAAGAGCGGAGGCTGAGGCAAAGTTTGCAACTCGAGGCCCATGCCCAGACCCAGGCCTTGGAAAGACTAATCCAAGGCTCTGACAACCCCGCCCAGGGCCATGAGGAGGACAGCAGCGGACACATTGCCACAGAATCACTCCAGAGAGAAGTGGAGAGACTGAAGCAGCAGCTCAGGGAGGAGAAGGACACACAGGAGAGGCTGGCTAACAGCTTTGAGCAGGAGAGACTAACATGGAACAAGGAGAAAGACAGGGTCATCAAGTACCAGAAGCAGCTCCAGATCAACTACCTGCAGATGCACAAGAAGAACCAGGACCTGGAGAGGATCCTGAAGGAACTGACCGCTGAACTGGAGAGCCGGACAGAGCTCGGCATGGATATCAACTACAGCTCAGGGTTACAAACGTACGACGACGTTATTGCAACAGAGATTTAATGGAAGCACTCACAAACGTTCAGTAAAAGTGAACCGGGCACTTGACTATTTTTTCACCACAGATATTTATGGTATTATAAATGCAGGAGATTTTTCACTGCTAATTAGTGTTTTACAAGGGTTATTTAATAGAATGTGCACAATCTTGTGTATTTTGTTTCCAGGTCACAAAAAAAACTTTAAGATAGCTTTTGTGAGGACACTGTTAGTACTTGTTTAAAAGTAAACACTAAGTTATTTAATGTTCAAATGAGATTGTTTTTTTACCATGTTGTCTAACAGGATCACTAGTTCAAATCATGCACACGTTTGTAGTTAAAACACCATTTATTAGTTGCTCAGTGAAAGCTGATTCATTTGATTAATCATGATTAATTACTGGTGGTAACACATGAGAAGCATGATAGTGGCTTAACATCTGTCCCTTCCAGCATGGCAAATGGCAGTGATTTATCATCTGTGTGTCTGGGGTCCTGAACCTTGATAGACTTTGCCTTGTATATCCATGTTACTGTTTGCTCCCACACTGTCCATTGTTAGAGGGCTTGTGCATGAAAAACTGTTCAAAACCATTTCATGAGTCATTTCAAAGCAATTCACAAGTCTTGTGAATATTTGTTATTTCCACCAATATAAAAGTGTTTCGCACTTCAAAATACATGTTAAAATAATGTATTTTCATTCAATTCAAATCAACAGTGAAAAGTGAACTCAATATGCACTGTACTGCAGTAGATATATTTTATTATATCATCTGTATGTTTTCGTCATTCTCTGGATGAACTCAAACTTTCTGTTACTGAGAACATTTCAACGACACAGTAAATTGATTCTGTAAAGCAGTGCCATTACATGTGTCAATTCAGGTGCCATGATAGATCCTAATACCACTCATACGACAACCATCACTCCGCTGAACAGATATATCATTGACGTAATATTTCATTATAAATTCAGGCTTGCTGTGTCGATGACGGACACTATGAATAGGTGGACGGTGTTACTGCATTGTCTGAGTGTGCATGAAACCAGCACTTTGTTAAAGCAAACCTTATGCCTTGGACCTGTTCATTCCTGATACAGAAATGCACATAATACAATATATACACCAGAGAACACCTCTGACCAAGGGCAAATGCAAATTTTGGGATTCACTTTCTGTTCTGCGTGGGTTTGGAGAGAGAGAAAGAGATTAAACGATGCTGCACAGAATACAATAATACAAATATTTTAAGAGAAAAACAAAGGAAAAAAGGGTAATCTCCCGGTACTGTCTATCTCTCCCCCTACATTGTTCATCTAACTTTGTGAGAGTTAGCTGGCACTGTTCCACTTGGACATTTGGCGCTGCTATTTTGGAGCTATTCCACTTCCCACAAGGGCAAAGTAGTTTGTGAAGCAAAAGTTGAACTACTCCACCCACTCAATACTCAGGGGCTCACATAGACTATCAGGCAGAAATATATGCACACACTGCGCTGGTCAAGAATGTGTGGCAATCTCTATAATGAGGCTGCTTGAGATTGCTCAGCTACCCACCATTACATTACATTACCACATCAGGTCGGGAGAGATTTGGAGGCAGACAGACCAAATGGAACCGTGAGGTGAGGTGCTGTAACCGAGGGCACTCAAACTCAAAAGTGTTTTACAGCCCTTACTCTGGTCCTTAGCACAGCGAAGTGGTCAAATAGGGAAACAGCAAAAGGACGGTTGATAGTGCAGCTATGGCTCTGGTGAAACATTCTTGGAATTCAATTGATGAAATGAAACTCTTGTACATCTTTGGGTAAAAAAGCCTCAGTGAAACAGAGGGGGATATCATAGGAAATCAGTACCAACAAACATGCTAGGGTGCAAACACAGGTGATTTAAAAATCAGCAAATGTCTGCCATCAGTGCTCGTACTTACACTTTTGCTATTTTACTTTGCTGTATTCTAAAACTCTGTTTATCTAAACAAGAATTTAACATCGATCTCAGGAACAATATTGTTCACTGAGGCTCTTTTTTCCAGAGAAACACGACGGTCCGATCCATCTGTGTTCAAACATCAACAGGCATATTAATCTGCTTTATGTTGGCTTTTAATCATTGCTAAAACTGCCTGCACTTGAAAGGTTCATGGGTGAATACTTTTGATTGAGTACACCACATCACAATAGACATTACTGCGGCTATAAATATTTAGAGGTATTAGATTCTGAAAAATTAGGTTTGTCAAACTACCCTTTTATTGCACAACTTCACAAGCAAATGCTGGATTTATAAATAAATATGAATGCTATTGATATATATTCAAAGCAGTCGTCAACTGCGCTCTTTGTCAATCCCTCATTGTCATTCTCCATTCCCTTTGGACTTAAATAATGAGAAGATTGTTTTCCTACCCTGCCAAATCATCTAATTTCTGCCTTTATAGTGTTTCCGTCCTCATCCAGCAGCTCTTTCCAGCTCATCTTCTGTCATTACAAAGCAGATTGGACCAAATCAAAACTGAAATCAAATTAAAGCCCATTGTGAGTACGCATGGTTCCGTCGCTGACATGAATGGAGGACCAAAAGATAACAAGAAATTCAAAGTTGCTGGTTTGACATGAAAGAAAACAACAGAGGCGACTGGATGATGGGATTCCTTACTCAAAGTGACTGTACAAGAAACATCACAGGTTACATGATTGTATACAATAAACACAGATCCTTGCTGCAATGTTGTCATGTGCTTTAGTGTGCTTTACCAGCAGAATAGATGAAAAAGGGGGTTTTAATGGCACATTATAACTTTTACTTAATTCAAGCTTTCAATTTTATTTATCTTTTTCAAAAATCAACCATTTTGGGGTTTTGCAAAGGTAATGATATACATCTCTTTGTATGGACTCAGCTGAACATACAGAGTTTTAGTCCAGCAGATGCCTCTGTGCGATTGGGAAGCAGTTAGGCAGGCGTCAGAAGACATGGGGTGATAATTTAGCCCTGCCCTGCAGTGACATGATAATAATGCACTCATATCCTGCTGTGATTCTCCTGATCGGCTGACAGTCAAGCACAAAAGGGCCTGAATTCATTAGTAATGGGGAGGCGCGTTTGCAAACCTGTTCAACATGCAAAATAGCCATCTCTGCTTAAATATTCACAGTAAACAAATGTAATAAATTCACAATATAAACTGTGGAAAAATATATAATTGTTCTCCTATGAAAAGGGAGTTTGCACTTCAGTTGATGGTCCGACCCTCACCTCTAACATTATAATAAATATTCCATACCTGCAAATAATAGATGAGTCAATAACACTGTATCAGTTTCTACCTTGCCCTCATTACACACTCACATACTCAAATGTGCTATATCCCAGCCATACCCCTAAGCAATTAGTTGCTCTACAATATCAGGGGCTGGTTATTCAGGCATGTATTTCATATTTTTATTGGTATATTTGGAGCCCTGCATGCACACCAAGCTACAGCAAACAGCCTCAGCAAATCCCCAAGCTCCTCCACGGTCAGCAAAGTAATTGGGGAGGGAGTCCCAAAGGGTACTCGCACACCGCTGAACCCTTTGCTACCGACAAGTTGAAATGGCAATAGAGGTAGATAGGAGTCAGTTTGAGTGTGAGTGTGTGTGTGTGTGTGTGTGTGTGAGATATAAGTACAGGAGGCGGCTGGAGTACTTTGTGTGAATAGGCCCGCAGTGTTTAGAGACTTTCGGGTTGGCTGGGAAACCATCTGGTTGCCCAGCCCCCCAGCTGCATTCCCATTTCTATGGGGATGTCAAATTCTGCTCATGGGGGGGGCTGTCCGGATGCCAATTTAAGCCCCAACTGCTCAAAATTTGTTAATTAACTCTATCTCTCACACAGAGAGAAACTTCCTTTGTAAGTAATTCTACCATTCATCACAATCCAACTATTCTATTGTAAAGTTTTGCCAACTATCAGCTTGTGAAATTAGCTAGGAACATTTGATTGTGCAATAAAAAGCCCCGTGAGTGAATCCATAGCATTAAATAACCACAAACACAGAAAATGAGTTCAAGCTCATTTCAGACGCTGAGGGGAGATTTCAAAATTCACTATAGCTTTCAACCATATGCTTTGTCTGCAATTACAACCTCACTGATAAGATTAAGATGATAACATTCATTTTGTTCAGACATGCATTAATTGAATATTCGTGGAATATGCTTATCAGATTCTAAGTTACTGTTTGATAGCTGTCTGCCACGAGGGACAAGATGTCTGTGTGTGTGTGTGTGTGTGTGTGTGTGTGTGTGTATGTGTGCTATCTAAACAGCATATAACAATGAGGTCTACTCATATGAACACTGGTCAAAAAATGCCATAAAGCCATATATACGTATACACACGGGCTTTAATTCACAACTATCAAGTTTGTACATTTTGTACACTGACTCTGTGCACTGAGACGAAGTGATCATATCCCGAAGTGATGATAAAACGAAGGTGCGTTGCATTGCTTCCATTTAGCTGGAAAATAGAAAAAAAGACAAGTAGTTGTTTGATATGTTAACTCTAGGAATTTATATATTTTACATGATAATGCTTTTTTAACTCGACTTACCAAAATAGTGTTTGACTGAAGATGTCCCTCTGTATGTTTAAATTCTACAAGACATCACTTTGTTAATACCAATGTTAAACATTTTGCATTAAAACCGAATGTGTTGACCAATGACACTGTAGATGGATGTTCATCTTACCTTGCTCTGTAACAGACTCAAATTGAGAGGCATTTGGTGAGGTGTTCTTTTCTATCTTTAGATGCTTGACTGCAAGAGAAACAACACAACCAGATATCCATAAAAGGTTTTGACAAAATAGGTTTTAGCAAAGAAAAAGACAAACTGTGAAAATGTTGGTCTGTCACTACTGCCTAGAAACAGATTTATTTTTGCAATGAGCGTGTTGAAATTGCTAATTACATTTTATATGCTATATCATCGGGCTAGCTTGGCTCTATTGTCCACCACTTTAGTCCAGACTGAAATGTCTCAACAACTATTGGAACTATTGTATCCTCATGACTTTGGTGATCCTTTTCTTGCTTGTGTTTATTGCTAATTAGCACATGTTTGCTTTAAACTAACAACACCATACCTGAAGCATGTTAGCATTGTTATTGTGAGCATAACTGAGTATGTTAGCATGCTGGCGTTAGCTTCTAGCTCAAAGCACAGCACTCAGTGTCGGCAGCATGGATATAGACTCCGCTAGCTTGTAGATGTCTTCTTTCAATGTACATTTATTCCATTCATGTTGTTCCTCCTTCAAATGTCTTGTCCAATATATTTTGTGATTTTAACAATGTAAATAAAAGTTTAATTCACATCTATAAACAAGGAGTTTGAGGAAATGAATGCATAGTGTTTCTCAACTGGTCATACTATAAAACACATCTTTACTTGTGATTACAAACACTTCTGATCAAAAATAATAATAAAAAAACTTCCCAGAGTCCCAGAAAACTTCTTGAGTTAATCTCAAATCTCAAAATTACTCCACCTGTGTTTACAGTACAGACAATAATACTCAAACAATTAATTTGACAGTAACAGTATGTGTGACACTGTCCCAGCCTCATACCGTTATAGCTGTCCACTGTCACAGCAGAGATCTGCGTGGATTCAGCGAAGCGAATGATGAACTCTTGAGGAAACATCCCGGTGGACATCCAAAACGTGCTCGTGTTTCTGAGTGAAAGGGGACAAACAAACGTTGATCCAATGTGTTTGAGATTCAGTAGAAATACAATGAACACCTGGCATCAACTTTCACAAAACATTGGCGTTATTTCACAAACAAACAGCGTTAATTTAACACTTACCCGTCAGTGATGTTTTCTGGTGGGTGATTCTCATCGCTGGATGCAGCGACGACAACTTTTGCACCCAAAGAACTTAGTGAGGAATCGATCATCTTCGACAATAAGACACAACCGTCTTTTTTGGTCAACGACTAACTAAGCTAACCTAGCTAACGTTACTCTTGTTGCCAAGCCAACCACTAAGTCGCAGGAAATATACGTCAAGCTCTCTATGCTACGTCACCATTTCCGACGCACGTTGCTCATTAGTTTGTGTAGCAATTAGCAGTGACTTTTACACATCTACACATGGCGAATGGATGCAAAGACGTGTTGTTCTCACGTGGAGGTGGACAGGTTGGTTGTGACGCGCTAGTGAGGTTAATATGACAACTCACGCGAACCTTTGTGTTACGCTATATATGTTTGGTTGGTTTGTTGAGCTAGGAAGCTAAGCTACAAACCAGCGCTGACTTCTGCTTAGTCGGGTAACAAAGACAAAATAAATAGTTAAAATTGAAACCAGAAATCCTCAGTACACCTGAGGTGTTGCTGTAGTCGAGGTATTGCCATGATAGTATGCAATGTGTTGGAGAGGCATCTCGGAGTTAGCTTTAGCTGCTCATAGATGTTGCACTTACTGTAGCATCCCCTCCACAGTGCAATGATAAACATGACAGGTCTAGGGTCAGGCGTCAGTTCAGCTGCAAAAAATGCACTTCGCTCACTGTAAAATAGATAAATAGATAAAATTAAGAGCAAGAGTACACAATAACTTTGCATCTTTTCTGTCATGCATGTGAAAACGTGTGTCTTTCATTTGCAGAGGCACTTAATCTGTTCTCTTTTCCAGAGTGACGATTCGGATATATGGGATGACACAGCATTGATAAAGGCTTATGACAAGGCTGTTGCATCATTCAAGGTAAAATATGTGCCTTGCAGTGTATGTGCATGCAAAACGTTTATGTTTGCCTTTCCCACTCATGCTCTGCTCTTGGTTTGTGTGCCAGACTGCCCTTAAGGGTGAAGATGAGCCGGAGGCCTCCAAGAAAAACCTACCCGGAAAGAAACGCAAGAACAACAAAAAGAACCAGAGCAGGAAAAGAGCGAATGCACCTCCAGACAAAGAGGTGCGTAACGGGAATTTACGAATACAGATGAATATACAGGAGTGAGGCTTATTGTTCAGCAATTTTATTGACAGTTTCTAGGTGTCTCAATGCCAACATTGAAATCAACATCATAGACATTTGAACACATAAGGCAAAACATTGCATTGATCTAACTTCCGGGTTGTACCCTATTTGTGATTCTAGATTTGGTTACCTTCAGACAGGAAGACAACCAAAATAGTACGGTTATAGTCATGGTTACACTTTGTTGTGTTGTGTCACAGTGGCAGGTTGGGGACTCGTGCAGTGCATACTGGTCGGAGGATGGCCAGCTCTATGCAGCCACTATCTCCTTCATAGACAAGAAGAGGGGCACTTGTGTAGTTGTTTATACAGAGTACGGCAACGAGGAGGAGCAGAACCTTGAAGACTTACTGTCGGAGATCTCTGAAGATGATGAAGAAACAAATACCAAGGTAAAGCAGTGCAAGTACATTATTTCATTTATATTCGTGAAATGTAATATATGTTGTGTATTTTATTAGATTTTACTTATTTTTATATGATTACCTCTTTATTTAACACGTTAATGGTGATGTACATCGCATCCTCAATTTGTAGATGGCTCCCCAACTTTATATTTTGCTTACTGTGAATAGGAGCTAGTCATTTTTCATAAAATGATCATCTGGAAATTAGCTAACACAAACCTGGTATTCTCCTTTTACTCAATGGAGACAGGCAGCATCTGTCTAATACAGTCCACCCAAGGTTATGTTATCCACTCTGCAAATATACACACCGCAAATGAGAGAACAAAAATTAACAGCATGTGAGTAAAAGGAAAACTAAGTAACAAACATGTTACCTTTGACATGCTGTCGTTTTTTACGTTTGTTTTTATTTGGCCACTATAGACTGAACACAATAGTAGATAATAACTGACAGATGAGGTCAGTTATTATTATATTACTGGATTTTTATCCAAATCCTGGAATTTAATGATCATAACAAATTGCTATGTCACTGTGTCATCAATCCAAGTTGTAATTAGTAAATCACTTGCATTAATATGGATTGTAAATTAATTTAGATAACCTCATATTATTTTGTTCAGTTTTTGCCTGTACCCTCTGGAAGAAAAACATGAATATTTATTCAGCAATTTCAGAAATGTGTAGTCTCCAAGGTATAAAAGTAAAATGACAAATTAAGGTTAAAGTAACATGTCTCTGCAATTCAGGTAAAGGAGGCAGAATCATCCACAGAGGAAAGTGACAGGTCAACCACACCAATCCATCACAAACAACAGCCACACAGTAAACCCCAGAAGTCCAAGGCCCACAGAGAACCTCCTCCTGTGTGGGCTCCTGGGTTTCCTCAAGGCCCACCTCCCATGCATGCTTTCAAACAGGTAAGAAGAAAGATCCCTTATCTCCTTTCCTTATAAGTCAGCAAACAAAATGAACTGGTAATAGACTACTTTACATATTTCTTGAGTTTAAAAGGTTCAAATGGTAGCTCAGCAAAATGAATAATAAAAGGAAATATAAACAAACTGTTTACAATGTGAACTATAAAACTAGAATATAAACAACCTCTCAGAGTTGGCATTCATAGCTGGGAGATTGTATTGGATTGCAATGAATTTATCTGGCATTTATGTTAATAGGTCTAGCCTCTGTGTAATTCTGTATAAAGTCATAAAAAGAGGAATAGTAAAATATGTTTTAAAAAGAAAAATATATTATCGTAAGCCTTTCTTACTGGTTGCACTATCTATCTATCTATCTATCTATCTATCTATCTATCTATCTATCTA